TGGGAATATATGGGCGAAAGAATTAGGTCAGGAAGTGCACGAGGGCCCACAAGGGTGGGGGCGCGCCCTCCGTCCTTGTGGCCGCCTCGTGGCTCCTCCAGCTTCATCTCCAAGTCTCCTGGTTGTCTTCTGGTCCAAGAAAACTCATCGTGAAGGTTTTATTCCGTTTGGACTCCATTTGGTATTCCTTTTCTGCGAAACTCAAAAACAGGGAAAAATAGGAACTGTCACTGGGTTAGTCCCCAAAAAAATATAAAATAGCACATTAATGCATATAGAACTTTCAAATCAGATAATATAATAGCATGGAACAATCAAAAATTATATACGTTGGAGACGTATCAAGTATCCCCAAGCTTAATTCCTGCTCGTCCTCGAGTAGGTAAATGATAAAAACAGTTTTTTTGATTTGGAATGCTACCTAACATATTTATCCATGTAATTTTATTTATTGTGGAATTAATGTTCAGATCTGTAGGTTCATAGAAAAGGAAAATCATGCGAGTGCGAAGCCACAAGAAGTGAGATACAAATGGAGTACATACAAGAAGAGAAGAGGTGACAAATATTCCATCAAACCTGGATTGAGGAGTAGTACTCCCTTCGTCTAGGTGTTAAGTCATCTTACGAAATCAGATATTCCCAAAATGTTTAGGCGTCGTCCATTAACTTCGCATCTCAATCCCCTCCTGGCCTCGTTGCTAGCGAGCGTTGTTACTTAGGGAGCATTTGGATCCTTAGCAAGAACAGGTTATAGCATAGCCGGGCAAGGTTAGGCATTTGGAACTGTTAAAATATGTTAGCTTTTGTGGGCCAGCTAGCTTGAGTGGGCTAGAAAAACCTTGCTAGCTCAGGAGAGCCAGATCGGCTCGCTTTCGACGGAAGACTTCGCGTAGTAGTAACATAGACTAGTAACATATGCAGTTACTAGTCCAAGTTACTCACCACTATGACCAGCCTAAGCAATGTAACCAAACGCTCCTTACGCTGCCTTGTTATCTCCCCTAGAAACCCAATGCATGGAGCGCAACTATGCGTTGATCAGTCAAGAAATCAAAGTCGGCTTGCATGCGAGTTAATACGTGGCCCTGCGTTTAGAGACAGAAATCAGGGCTTTGATTGGAGGAATGACCAGTCAAGTTTCTTCTTCTCCTCCAATCTACTTGCACCTTGGTCCTGCTGCACCTTCTAACGTGACTTATTACACCTAGATGGAGGGAGTAGTACGAGATACGGTGGCACACTGACTTAGGTCGAATACAAGTGCCAAAATTGTGTGCATGTTATAATAAGGATTCATTTAAAATAGTACGTGAGCAAACTGAGGGATCAATTGGACAGTGTTCCCGAGCAGTAGCGAGATGTGTGAGGTAAGATACACCGTTGGCAGTTTTAATTTTTCTTATTAATTTGTTTGTTTCACCCTCTGACTTGTGGGACCCAACGTACTACATGGAGAGAGGTAAGGTGACTAAGACTGCATTATTTCTGCACCACTGTGGATAGTCTTACCACCAAAGCCACATGACACGATTATGATTTAAATACCAATGACTCCCACACACAAAAAAACACGGCATGCTTGTCACACGAATGCAGGAATGTATAAAAGGTTATTTTCCTCTCGTTGAACATAACGGGAGGGTTGTGTAGCTGGTTAGCTTGTTCGCTCATCAAACATGAGGTCTCGGGTTCGATAACTACACTTGAGCATAATTCGTGCCAAGAGGATTCTTTGACTGGTCAAAATGGATGGATACAGAGCTATACGATCTCGTACTGACCATATAATCACCTCATCACGTATTAGCTGCAGCCTCGGCGCTTGTTTTCTAGGGTTTGCACTCTTCACACACTCTCTCCAGTATATATATACATGCTGGAGCCTCAGCGCTTGTAGTTTCTCGCTTCACAGTCTCTCACCCTCTCCAGATCTAAACAAGACTTCATTGGCCTCTCTCTCTCTCTCCCCTCACTGCTGGTTAAAGAGCCGGCAGGATCGGTCCACCGGGAAGGGAAGGAGGCTTAACGTTGTCGCCATTAGCGAGGGAGGGAATCCACTACCGGCACAGTTGTTCACTTTCACCCAGCGGCGGCACGGGAGGGCCTCCAACCCCTTCTTCTTTGCTGCCATACATAGTGTGGGCCGAACAACCTCTAGTCGCCCACCGAACCACACCCCAAGAACCTTAAGGTATAATTTACTTATTCCACATGCATTGCTCTAGCTGCATGTGGGCTTTTTCCGCTTTTGCACTTGAATTTAGGTGTTGGATGAAACAGGAAAGTAGTGGGGAAAGTTTTATCCCATGAATCTTGGACGTGGTTCAGAGAGGAAAGGAATGGGGGAAAGTAGTGGAAAAGTTGTATAGCATGAATCTAGGACATGGTTCAAAAAGGAAAGGAAGGGGGAAAGTAGTGGGGAAAGTTGTATCGCATGAATCTAAGACGTGGTTCAAAGAGGAAAGGAATGAGGGAAAGTAGTGGGGAAAGTTGTGTAGCATAAATCTAGGATGTGGTTCAAAGAGGAAAGGAAGGGGGAAAGTACTAGAACAGACTGGCTATCCAGCACCTACATTGGTCGAAAAGGGAAAACAATGACAAACGCATTACACACATCTGTACAGAACTGATCTTTTGTTTTGGGGAACAAGGTTGTAGAGTTTCAGCAGGACTAGATTTGCTGCGCTCACATAGGGAAAGGTGTCTAAAGACAACAAAACTAGGACCAACACAAATATGTTCCTTGGTTGTTTGTTCTTTGTTGCAATAGACTGTGCATCACCCCAGTACATCGATAGATGCACATGGTGCTGGTGCGTCCACTATCCCGTGCAACTCTTTAGCTATTGTTAATCTAAGGCCTTGTTTGGTTAAAACCTCCCTACACTACTAGAAAAATGCTTATACATAGAAGTTTACTAGTAGCATTTGTTTGTGTCCCCACGCTACTGGTAATTACCAGTAGCGCTGGGTACAAAGCGCGCTACTAGTATGTCTTAGCAGCGGCGTTGGTTTCTTTTAGACACGCTGCTGGTAAGTGTGCCACACCATACCACCAGATTAAAAAATATTAGTAGCGCGGGATGTAAATCCTGCGCTACTACTAAGTGAATAGTTATAGCACGGGCGATACACCTATGCTACTACTTAGCATGTCCACTGTGGAGTGTGGCACCATCCACCCCGATCCACTCCCACCCCTCTCCTCCGCCCCCACGATCTCCTTGCCCGCCGCTCCCTCTCCGACCCCTTCCGCCCATCCGCCTGCCCCCCAGGCTCCACCATGGCGCAGCTCATCCTGGCTCACGTCCTGCTAGCTCGCCCTGGCCAGCATCGTTGGCGGGAACAAAGCCAAGGTCTCGACCGAGGTTGCCCCGGAGGACACCGCCGAGCACGGGTGTCGGGGGGAGGCCGATGAGGAGAGGTGGTCCCGCCTGCTGCAGGAGCTGCTCATGGACATCGTGCGCTGCATCGATGTCGGCGCCGAGCACCTCCCCCCTCCCCCGCGCCGCGACGTTGTCGCATGCGCCTGCGTCTGCCGCTGTCTCTGTCGTGCGCCCTCCACTCCAGTGCGACAGAATCACCTTCTCTTCCTTGCTCAAGCAAGTGAGCGAGAGCCCCCCACCCCACCCGGATCCTGGCCTTAGGTGATGCCCTTCTCTTCTACCTCGGTGATCCCCTCACTCGGTCGCTCACTACTCTGCAACTCTGATGCTGCTAATACTATAGTAGTTAAGACATCCGTCTCGGCACATTCAGTCCAAATTTGGCCAATCTCAAGGTATCTAGGCATCCTTGCCCTCTCCAATAATTTTTGTTTGCTTTAGTCCCCAATCTGGTTCGTAGTAGACATACATGTAGTACAATTTTGCCTCCCGATTGTCAAATTTTTGGCTGATTCATGTGCTGCTTCACATAATCACATCCTCAAACCATGGAATAATTTATGATTCCTCATAATTGTTGATTTTTTCCCTTGTCGTACATACATCACCATTTGTTTCTGAAACAAAAAAGTCCTAACCATTTGGTTCATGACCTGCACCATCTGCAAATACACATCTAGTATCCAAGAAAGTTTTTGTTCTGGCACTCAGGGTCATACTCACTGCAGCTAGTAGCTGCTCCAAACATGTTTGTAATTTTACTACTTAATAATTATTCTGGATGTGCTGCTAACATTTCCTACTGGGCAAATAATGTCATTAATTTTAAAGTAGAAACTATACCACCATAGTCATCCCCAGGAGTGCAACTTTTCCTTCCATATAGCTAATTGTGCAACACAGCAGTACGTAGTACCATAGCAGTTTTACGCTCTTTTTATGGTTACAGATATACTCTTCTTTGTAAGCTTAGGGATGGGTACATATATGTTTATTCACACAGTAGCATAAGCAAGCTTGATTAGAATTATGATGCTTGCTCTTCTCATATGACAATTCTGTCATTTAAGGCAAATTCTGAAGATTCTTTTTTCACTATACAAATTATGGAGATAGAGTATAACCATCCAGTCTTTTCGGATGCATATTTCAGTTTTTTAATCTTATCATATGATGCATTAGAATTTTTAGAGGACTGGTATTCCTGATTCCTTTCTTGGAGCCACTACTGCACATAAGTGACATTTTGAATCACATTCTATGGCAAAATATCAGGGTTTATGAAGTCTATGCTGGGTTCTAACTCAGTAGCACAATCTAAACTGGGGAGTCTATTTACAGTTACTGAATCTCAAACTCTGAAATAATGAGAAATTTCAAAGTGAAAGAAGAACAAATTATGAATGTTATGTGATGAATTTAGAAACATGTACTCTTGGCGCAAATAAGTGAGCTCATTGGTTCCTACCTTTTGGAGTAGTAAATTATCATCCTATGAGTTAGACAGGTTCAGACTACAAATCCATTGGCTTTTCTTTTCTTTTAGAATACACCCTAGATGGTGTATTATGCATTAAAGAGAGAAGTTATCTATAGAGCAGGTACAACGCCATGAGGACGGCTAGAAACAAAACAATAAGAAACCTTTCTAGAGATTCATTGCTCATACTTGCTGATTTTATGGTCATTCTTACTGAGCTTGGATTTTTTTAGTGAGAGAATCCACACCTTAGTAATCCTCTTCCTATTGTGCACTCTGATTTACTAGTGATCATTATGTGTGCGAACATGCATTCATAGATTGTTTTCATGGCTTAACTTATCTGCTTTCTGCAGACGTATTATCTGATGCAGTTTTCTGAGACAAAGGCACTAGGCGATGCTATTGGATTTGGGTTTGCCTTTGTGTTTGCCTCTGTGTTTGGTATGGTTCACCCTCTTTGCGCCTGCATCTTCATGAAATCGGGATCTAACATTGCCGACCCTCTTGTTCGTTCAGGTATCAGGCTATACAATACCCGGAAGCTAGTGCCATCCGACCTTCTTTCAGCACTCTCTCTAGGTGCCCTGGGAGTCTTCTATGCTGCTTACTTGCAAGACAAGGTGTGAGCTAATCACCTGACCATCTCTAATTTTCTGTACTGCTAACTGAAGAAGCTTCCTTCAAGGTTCCCTCTCATAAATGAAAAAATTTGGGACTGAGCACCGACGGTCGGCGTTCCTCCCAAAGTTGTAGAAGTCCCAACAAACAGCATTTAGTGCCCCTCTGTTTGTTGCCAATGATAAGCTGTGGCCAAGCTTTCAGTTGTCGATGCGCTGATTGCAGTTGCAGTTGCAGTTGCTCGAGACTCAGTTGCAGTTACTAATAGAATATAAACTAGATTGAAAATGCATCACATGGACATTAGTACTGTGCTATGCATACACCATAAGGATGCTGATTTTAGTTTTAAAGTAGTAGATAATTTCCCCTTGATTGAAACTCCTATGTTGAATTAGAGGGTATGCAGATGCTACTACTAATCATTGTTGGTGATGCAAATGTCATTTGAGAAACCATTGTTTCTTGCTAATGAAGACTGTTACCAACATTATCTTTTCCTGTGTGTCAAAATTGTCAACCTGGCTCATAAAATGATTTTGTTAGGATTCACGGTTTTTTTCTTATTATTATACATTACAATGAGTTCATTGTATTCAGATTCCTTACAACTTCATTACCTGAGCTATTTACAGAAGGAGGGGAGCTGGCCTTCTTCACGTCTCGAGGCAGTTTCTTCCTTGGATTCAACAAGGAGGGGACCCGGCCTTCTTCACGTCTCGTGCAACAAGTATGGACCAACCTCTGGTTGTTACTATTGATTCATGTGCATGGGCTAAAAGGAAAGAAAATACCCTGCTGGATTTGAACGAGGAAGCGAACTAATAAGTTTTTTACTTTCCCGACGTGGGTGCATGGGTGATTGACATGGACTACCATTGCCCGGTGAGTGTCGTGCTCTTCAAATACTCGGAAGCGGACTTCACCATAAAGCCCAGAGACTGCATCATGCAGATGATCATCCAGGTGATTGCAACGTCGGAGGTCGTCGAGGTGGAGGACCTCGACATGGGGCTGTGGTGACAATGATGACGACGACATCGACATCGACACAGGGCTACGATAGTGATATACACATGGTAGTAGCGTGGGAACCCTAAAAAATAGATGTAGCATCATAGCAGTAGAGTGGGAACCTACGCTACTGGTAGTCAAACAGCCCACGCTACTGGTAAGGTTTTTCCTAGTAGTGCTAGTACCTACCTGCTTGGTTCCAGGGACTAAACATGGACTAGAGGTTATTAAATGACATGCTAAAAGACCATGTTACCCCTAGTAATGAACTAATAGAGACAAGGTGCGATGCGTGGCAGGGGCAACTATTGGAAAAAGTCCCAAAAACACTCTCCCTATGGGTCTTCTTTCTTTAGTCCCAAATGCTCACTTTTAGTCCCTAAAAGTCCCTCCTGTTTGGTTAAGATGGGACTGACACGGAGTTTTTTTAGTCCCTACACCAAAATGTCCCTGTAAACAAACACCCTCTAATAATGGCGCTGGAAAATGATGCAATGCCACAGTTAAAACAAAATTACATGTTTAACGAATTTTATTGTTAATATAATCTCTCTGTTAATATTAATCAATGCCACCGTTTGAGAAATGCTACTATCTTGCTTTCTTTCCCATTTAGATAAGGTAGATGCTTCTTTTTGTTGGCTTCTGTGTCATCCACCGTTATTAACCACTAGTTGTTTCCTTTGCACCTCTGTGTAAACAGGGTTATCTACTTCACCTCGTTGCCATTGTGACCTTTTGTTGCACTGCACAAAACACTTTTGTTTTAAGAGTGTTTTGTGCAGTTCAAACAAAATGTCACACCGACAACGTTGCTTGATTGCTTGACCTTAGTGGAACTGACAAAGAGGAGATCTTACTTCCTATCCGTGTTGGCAAATTTGGTTCAGATCTTCTTCTTGTGAGTTGTTTGAATTCCGTGTCATGAGAGGTCAGTACTAACCTTCTTTCACATGATTCTGTAGTGTGCTTTCATATGTTGTGCTACTTGTACGGTAATGTTGCTTGATTTTAGTGAACCGCACAAATGGAGACAAGACTTCCAATCTATATGTGCACCATAATATCTGATTGAGGTAAGATAAGGATATATCACAACTGTTGGCCTGTATTTTGCCACTTTCATCAGAAAATTAATGTCATTGTTTAGTGCTATACTTGTGCTCCCTAATGCTTGTCTGTTATTGAACCAAGTGATGAAGGGGAAGAACAAGCGGAAGAAAAACAAAAGTCAACTCCCGGTGCTGTAATGAAGCACTAGAACTGTGATGACACAAGTAATGATATAGTTTTGCATCTTAATTTATTGCTATGGCTGGAATGAGCAATTGTTTTGCCACTGATTTGATGCCACTCTTAATGTAATACGTAATTATCTCTACTTGTGCAAACAGGGATCTTCTTTGAAGATACCATATATGTTAGTGGAACTGCACAAGAAGATGTTGGAAACATTAAACTAATCAAGGAGTATATAGTAAGCATGGCCACCATAGTAGATAGCAACAGATGGTTCCGGAGAAGTGCTTCATCTGTATGCTCTACACAATCAGCCTCCTAACAAAGGTTGGTACTCGCCCACCGATTTCATCCATATGATAGAGCTTTGTCACATCTATTGGTGTGGTGCTACTGTTTAGATACTCTCATGAAAAAGTGGTATTGTCATTGAGAAGTGCTTCATCTGTGCTGTTTTAAATATTTCCTTTCCTTTTTTTCGAGCAAACAAGGATGCTAGCATTTAGTTGTCCTCTTGTCTTTGCACAACAGGATCATCCTCCTCTGAGGAAGAATATGGAGTACGTGAAGTGACTAGTTCCGATTATGCTAGGATGAAGAAGCCCTGTCTATCTTCTCATCGGAAGGAGCAGTTGAAGGATGGTTACATTACTCCCCGCAAGACCAAACTAACTTCAGCTCAGAAGGACTGACAAATCTCCATTTTCTTGTTGTGATGCGCGAGTACAATGTTGTTCTAGGATTCTTTCCGGTGAGTTTCATTTTCCTAAAAGTGTGCTCTACATGGACCTTGTAGGTGTCTGTTTAAACTGTTAATTCATAGTACAATTTGCTTTATACTAATCACTTTTTTGCATTTGTGCAAATAGGGGTGCTCAGCTTGATTTCAATGGGAACTGCAAAAAATGTTCATGAATACATCGAATCATTCATTTCCACCACAAGAAAGGAGGTGCCGATAAGTTCAAGGCTTTGCAACATATAATAGCGAAATCATACAAGCTACGCGTGAATTTGGTTGATTTTGGTGGAACTGCACAAAAAGAACAGCTGGTTTATTTAGCATGAGGTCCCATGTCAATGTCCGAACTAATGGCAAACCCTGCCCATTCAACAATCATAGGCATTTGATATTTTGGAATGGGACAACCTTGTCAAATTTTGCTCATTGATTTTAGCAAGAAGACATGCGTTTGATATTCGAATGGGACGCCCTTTGCTGTCAGCAGCATCGATCAATTTTTTCTTTATTCTTTAGTTGTGAAGTAAATATTGGCTCTGACATGTGAATCGTTGAGATGCATAATCATCGATTGTTTTGAATGTTCTCTATGAATTGCCAGGCATGTGTGTTTGATTGCAATGTACAGGAATGCTAAAAAGCTGCTCAAACTCTTTGTACTCCTTTTGTTCAGTTTTACTTTGCACATTGTTAAAGTGCATACTTTTTTCTATAAGATTGGTGAAAGTAGAGATACTTCGACTGCAAACAAAACTTGTATGTAGACTAGAAAGGACCGGAGGGAGTACATGTGAAACTGCTCTAAACGAGGTGATCACCCTGGGAATAATGCTAGTACGTATTGTTTTGCATGTTCATCCAATGCCAGTGATACAAGAATTCGAACTAATCAAACTAAATTTATTCATACACGGCCGGATTTCATATAAACATGTCAGATTTCATTACATTTCATACATTCTTCAACTAAAAAGGGGTGTGCTGGAGGTATAATTAATTAACCGAAGCTACCCACCTGTGTCCGGCTGAGCCGAACAAAAGCTTCAGTGACTTAACTGTAGGTGTAGTTGCATAACTGACATGTGGCCTATATGCCTGTTGGGCCCACGTGTTAGTCAGCCAACTGTACCAGCAGTTAAGTAGAAGCAGCGTCCTTCTCCAACATAGGTCTCCGACTCCACGTCGCTGCCAAGAAGCTAATCGGCCGTCAATGGTCAACCCGCGTAGCTTGGCTTCAACCGGAGGGTAGCAGCGGTGGCCTTACTTGGACCCGAGCGGCAGCGACCTACCGTGTTCTACTCTTTCTCGTTTTCTGTGTGGTGCGGCCTTGTTGGCAGTGGGGTGGGGCCTCGACGGAGTAGGGCCTCCGCCTCGGTGCCGGTGGGGCGGGGCCTCGGCGGAGCCGGCGATGTCCTGTCTCGTTGCCGGCGGGCAGCGCCTCGGCGGAGCAGGGGAAATCCTCCCCCTCGTTGCCGCCAGGGCAGGGGCTCAGCTGAGCCGGCGATGTCCTCTGCCTGGTTGTTAGCGGGGCAGGGCCTCGGCGGAGCCGGCGGTGTCCTCTGCCTCGTTGTTGGTGTGGTGGGGCCTCGGTGGAGCAGGGCCTCATCGATGCTAGCGGAGCGGGGACTCGTCGGAGCTGGCATTGTCCTCTGCCTCGTCCTCGGTCTGGCCAAACAGTGCCTCGCCCGCTTAATCACCCTATTTGTAGGCGGCCGCCTCCTCCGCCACTTGCATGCGGTACCACTAGCGCTCAAGGCGGCCCTTGCGGGCGGAGAGGTACGAGTCGAGCAGCGCCTCCTGCTCCGCCCGCTCCACGGCGATCTGCTCCTCCGCATGCAGGTGCTCCTGGAGGAGGTGGTGGTTGTAGGCGGCGTCGGCTTGCGCCTCCCGGAACTGCTCCTCACGCTTCTGCCTCACTGTGTCCATATATTGTGTACGGGCCTCGCCGATGGTCATGGTGCAATGCACCAGCGAGGATGCTGCGGAGGAGGGGGTTGGCGCCGGATCGTCGAC